ACTGGGACACTTCATGGTTTTGGTCAATTTGTTCTGAAAATGTTCATCCTCAAGATTAGAAATTTTGCCTCAACAGTCTTTACTGTCAGAAGTCATAATCAAAGCAGTCAGATACTTTAAATTGACGTACTGTATGAAGCGCTGCGCTGTTACACTACGTGAATAGTTCAATAAAGTTGTTTGCGCACAGAAAGTTTTCTCATCGTTAAAGTAGTCACTCGGACTATTTTAACGATGTCTTCAATAACTTTCTGGACCAGCAAGTTCAATTGCAGCTCTCAGATTTAATCAGAAATATCTTAATTTGTGTTCGGAAGATGAACAAAAGTCTTGCAGGGGTGAACAACATGAGGGAAAGTACACTGGGTTGTTTGAACCCAAAATTGGTTAAAATATGGACAAACCCAAATGTTGGTTTAAAAATGTAATTTAAAATTTTAACCCAACTTCAACTTTCACTTTAAACTGTACATTTTTGAATTGCATTTTTAACCCAACATTTTGGTTTGTCCATATTTGACCCAAATTTGGGTTAAAAAAACCCCCAGCATTGTTTAGAGTGTACTCTCCCTCATGTTGTTCAACCCCGTAAGACTTTCGTTCATCTTCCAGTATGTTTTAGAGTGTATAATTACTGACAGAGTTTTAATTTTTGGTGAATATAAGTACTTTATACAGACAATTTCCTTGTAATATACATGGTGATACACAGCTAGTTATACACTCTAAAAAATGCTGGGTTGTTTTAACTCAATTTCGGGTCAAATATGGGCAAACCCAAATGTTGGGTTAAAAATGTAAAATTTTTACCCAACTTCAACTTTCACTTTAAACTGTACATTGTTTAATTGCATTTTTAACCCAACATTTGGGTTTGTCCATATTTGACCCGAGTATTTACATATTTGACTTCCAGTATTTTTTAGAGTGTAATTACTGACAGAGTTTTTAATTTTGGGTGAATATAAGTACTTTATAAGTACTAATAAACAGACAATATCCTTGTAATATACATGGTGATACGCAGCTAGTTACACTCTAAAAAATGCTGGGTTGTTTTAACTCAATTTTGGGTCAAATATT